TCGATATACTTAGTTCACTATAAAAAATGTTCTGATACCAATCTGTCACACCCCCAAACCAGAATGGCGGAATCGTTCAAGGGCGGATGACTTCATGTAATAACAGTTGAATACATAGTAAAGAAAGTAAAACAACCATCAAATATATAATTTAAAAGTTACATTATTGAATGATACTTGTTCAAAACAAATTAAAATATGATGAAAAAATGAGTTTTAAACTAACGTCTTAGCGTCACTTCTCCAAAAGCTGGGGTTTACCTGTATTACTGAATCCCTGAGAAATACAAGTAGTTTTGAACGAGTGTCAACAATTAAGTTGGTGAGTTCATAAGCGTTTATGTATAAAATTTGTAAGTTTGGTATAAAATCACTGAGTTTTTTTTCTTAAAAATCCAATATTTTTCCATGAGTGTGTGGCAGTTTAAAAGTTCCAAAACTGTAATGCATTAGTAGTTTTTCATGCCTAGAATAACATATTTATGTATTTATAAAATCGCTATGGCATTTGATAACTGCGTAAATCAATGTGTTCTTAATACTCCATGTGAGTTTTATAACCATGCTATTGACCCTGATTTCCTGTGACAATGTTCTTCAAGTGTTGGAATGTTATGACGTTTGTCACCCGAGACCTGCCGGTCTAAATGTAGCTAACAGTTTAGGTGGAGGATTGTCAATCCCGTATAAATCTATACATAGGTATCACGCTCTCCCTACAAGAGATTATGGTATATAATACAGGACTTTAACTGCATACTTGAAAGTACGTGAAGTTGAATGTCTCACAAAACTTAGTATCAAATAGATTTACGTATGAAAAGTCCATTAGTTCTTGTATATGAAAGTATTTCTTTGCTATAGTACTCATAGTATGTAAAATCTCGTGAATAACTACTAAACTATACCTATTATAGTTTTTCCAAAAGTATGTTTCGTTTGTATGGTAAACCCTAGTGTAGTGTCGACTCAGTATGTAAAGTATAACATTATTGAACATTTATACTCAAAATATAAATAAAGTGTTTGATATTTATATAACAACATGTTTCATTCCAAAAAGACAAAGTGTTTTCATGATATGTTGTATGAGAATGTTTTCGTATGGTAGTTATAAATCACATATGATTGATTATAAAAAAAGTATAGCAAGAGATTGATGTTTTTCACACGAGGATAATCGTGTGTTTACTTGTATTTCCCCCTTAAAAGTGTATAAAAGCATTTCCAAAGCATTTGAAAACGTAGTTATAAGGGGTATGAACTCACTTGATAGAGTGATGATGGTGAGATGAAAACCGAGCAGAACTTCTATAGGAGAATGTTGATTTATTGGGATTCTCGGTATCTTGGAAATCTTGGAAGTGTAAAACCTTCCTTCTGAACTTGGATGTGAAGACCAGGGCTTCAGGATGGCTTCGGGGGTTAAAACGAAGAGCTTCGGCATGAGAGAGAAGAGAATTGAGCAATGAAACTTGGAACCCTTTGAGCTCTATTTATAGCCCAATTTTTGGGCCCCACGTTGTGGCAAGAGGGTTTCTCACGTCGTAGAGTCGATCCTATCCTCTTCCATGGACGAGACGTCTTCTTCCAAGCCTGAAAACCCATCAGTCATGGTGCCACATCGTGGCCTGCCTGATAGCCTCGCATTTTGTGTCTTGAACTTGTAAAATGCATAACTTTCGTGTACGAGCTTTGTTTTCGACGTTCTTTACATGCACGCGAAGGTGAGAATATAATCTACAACTCTCGTTTAGACTCCGTTGACTAATTTTGACTTTATTTGTAATATATCATTTTTAACAGGCTGGGACACGAAAAGTCCATTAAAAATCCATAACTTCTTCATCCGTCGTCCGTTTTCGCCAGACTTTTTGCCGTTGCGCTACTATCATTGAGATCTTCGATGCTCATTTAGATTGTTTCGGCCAAAAATCCCTCGATCTCTATTTCAAGTTTTTAGCTGTCTACTCCTATATCCGAAACTTCGAAAAATCATAACTTCCTCATACGAAGTCAGATTTGGGTGTTCTTTTTATGTATGTTCACAGTTTAATGATATCTACGACTTTCATTTATACACTTAAGGTTAAAAAGTATTTTATTAAAACTTCGCGTTCACATTCTTAGTCAAGAGACAAAGAGATGAGTATCGTTGTCTGAATGAGAATGTACCATTACATGCGTGTCTAGTGCTAGAAAATGGTATCTTATGTATGATTGCATGTCTCTTTTGTAGTATGTTAGTGTCAGAGTTTTATATTAAGATACTCATGTGAAATAATAACTTGAGATAGCTCGGCTACTACATTCAATTGGCTGCATGCCATGACAAGTTTGTTGTAGTTGGTGCTGTAAACAATGGAACGTGAATTGCAAGTGCAAGTGATTGGTGCTAACAACCACATGTTGAAGGTTGTGTATAAGTGTTTTTACATTACTTGATGGTCAACATGGTTGTTGGAAGCATAAGAAGCTAGTGCCGATCATGAGAGTGTTTGAATATTAGGTAGCATAATAATTGTGTCAGTTCTGGAGGTGTAAATGATCCTATTGAATAAGAAATGTTCTCTCAAGCACTTTGTCAAACACCCCTATGTGCACGATTTATTTACGTCTTTTTTCGAACACACTTGTTAAATTACTATAATTGAACGTATATAGACTCTTTCCTATCTTTACATACTCAATTCACAAGTAGAGGAAACACATATAGGGATGAAAGAAATAAATTGAGGAGGTGAGATGAAATAAGGGAAATATGTTGACATCCGTGTTTTGCTGTGATTTTTGGTGGTGTTGTAGGATATAATTGGATTGTATTGAATTTTTGAACCATTGATATTCCTATCACAATTAATCGATTTTTTCTGATTGGTGATCATAAGGTCGAGATTACCAATAGTTTAGGTTGTTCCAGGAAATAGTTGATCACCGTTGCCATGATTTACGATGAATGCAGAGCTTCCAACGACTTTAATTCATCTCAATCACGGTAGCTGGATATAGTTGTTACGATTTAAAAAAAAAAAGTGGGTAACAAAATATTTTTATGGTTGCTGTTTTTAAATGAATGAGAAGGTGTTGTCGGCTCATCGCCCATTTAGGGGGTGTTTGGATAAATAGTTTTTAGCTTATTAGTTTATTGCTTATTTTCTTATTGTGGTGGGAATAAACACTTTTTAAAAATGTATTTGGATTAGCTTATTGCGGTGGGAATAAGCAATAAGCAATAAACAATAAACATTTTAAGTGTTTGGCAAACAAAACAACTTATATGAGTAAAATGATCAATATGCAATAAGCATTCCTCCTCTTGCTTATTAAAATCAGCTTATTTAGCTTATTTCTACTGCAATAAGCTGATTGTTAAAGATTCCTATCCAAACATTTAAATTTGCTTATTGTGGTAGGATTAAGTGATAAACAATAAACAACCTATTTTTTTCCCTATCCAAACACCCCTTTTGGTTTTGAAAAAGTTTATTGATTACCTACAACTTTAGCTTTGCTTCAAACACCAAGTTGCATAAAGAAGTCCTTTCCCCTTTGACTAGGTTTTTTTTATGTACCTTAATTTCCATTTTTATCCCTCTTTTTTTGTCTTGTTATTTTTTTATCCATTTTTTGTTCTTTGTTTTTAATATTTTTATATTATTATTATTAACATTCAAAATATATTTTTTGTTTGTTCGTATATATATTTTTTTCTTTTCAGATAGATATCACTGTATTACTTTTTTCCGTTAAGACTATCCATGTATTATTTTTGCATTCGGATTATCCTCATATTATTTATTTCGTTCCGATTATCCTTATATTGTTTTTCGTTCCGATTATCTCTGTATTATTTTTCTGTTCGGACTATTCATATATTATATTTTTCATTTATACTATCTATTATGTTATATTTTTATTCTGACTATCTTTCTGTCATTTTTTTTCTTCTGGCTACCCTTTATTGTTTTTTCCGGTATGATTATCCCCACGTTATTTTTTTTCCGTTTGAACAACCGTTGTTTTATTTTTTGTTCCAATTATCTATGTGTTGTTTTTTGTTTCGACTATTTATGAGTTATTTTTTCGTTTGGATTATTCTTGTATTATTTTTTCTTTCATTAAGACTATTAATGCAACATCTAATCAAATCAAATATTTAAAATAATATTAATATTAATATATATATATATATATATATATATATATATATATATATATATAATATATATATATATATATATATATATATAAATTAACTAAAGTTGTGGACCTGTTAGGAATAGTAAAGTTTCTAGGGTTGACAAGAATCGTCCTTTGTCTATATGTATATGTTCAAAAACGTTTTTTTTTTTTTTTTTTTTTTTTTTCTGTTTTTTGTTGGTTTTTTTGTCATTATTTATATTCTTACTAGACACGTGTTAGCAATCTACCTTGTCTTTGTCTTTATCTGGCTCAGCTTCTCGATTACACCACTATTCTTTACTTTTCCTTTGGTTTCGTATATGCCCACCACTCCAATTTGGTCATCGCAACCACTTCTTTGATCGTTACCGGAACCCCGTTTTGGAAATCACGGTGGGCGTGGCGACAGCTAGACCAACGGAGACGCTACGACTGGCGAACGGTCGGGAAGAGTTTTCGAACGCCGCAGTGGAGCCGGACGCGGTTCAATCGTCCCTTCCGTTTCTCATCTCATGATTACAGGTATGAGATGTTGCTAATCCATCGTGACCCACCGATGGGTCTGTTAGTTTCGTCTTATCAATCACCGGGAAATCAACGAGGGTTAGGCGGCGATTGTTACCTGCGATGGTAGGAGCAGCGACAGCGGTAAATAGAGGTCGGCGGCGGCAGCAGCAACAACAACTACAGCAGTAGCGACATTTTTCGGTGGTGGTGCGGAAGGGGCTGCTCCGGTGGCCTTCTGCTGCTTTTGTTTCTGGTTGAATTCGTCAGGAAATCGAGTGGGGAAAAGGAGGGACTCGGTGGCGGTCAGAATTAGATAACGGATCGTTCTAAAACTTGATCCTTCAGCCATCGATTCTAGATCACCATGACCACCAGGAGGAGCAGTCGTCGTCGTACCTTTCTCTACCTCCAATTTCGGAATTCGAATTCTTTCGTGATGACGATGAAGATGGCTCCATCAGCCATACCCGTCGGTTTTGCGCTTCAACAAAAATAGCATTTTCTCAGCATTTCAGAAACAAGGTATACGTTCGACTGGAAAGAGTCCCCGGAGGCCGCTCATGTGCTTTGTGTCAGTCTACAACACCTCCCTCCACCCAACACAGTACAATGACGAAGTGGTAACAATATGAGGTAAAGAATTGCGTCTCTATTCATGCTTCCAGGTAATCCGTATTGAGTATTTAGTGATTTTGATTTTGATTTAAGATTTCCCCCAAAACCTAAATTGAGATGAAGACTCAATAGCTTAATATAACATGTTTGATTTACATTCCGGAAATCTGTAGGTCTTACGTGTTTCATTTTACACATAAGAAATATTGATTGTCATTTTTTTCAGATATACAAACCTGTTTATGTTGATATTTGAGAACTAACTAATTTGTTGGTGGAAATGGTGGTGCAGGTAGAGGTTCATGAATGGAAGAAAGCTAATTGAGTGATGTTCTTGATAAGGTACTACAAATGCAATATCTACTTTCATAAATACAATTCCTTTTTCCACTCTTCATATTCTGATATATTTGTTGTTGTTGTTTACAGAAATGCAAATAGAAGACCAAAGGTAGTAACTACTATGAGTTCTTTCATTATACAAGATCAGTGAAACCTACAATCCTTCATTCTCAGGTTACTATATATGATATATCATTACCTTTTGTTTCTATTAGACTGATATTACCAAAATAGCCCTAAGATTTTCTATGGTAAACAGCTAAGGAATCTGGTATGGGCTACCTCAAAGCATGATGTGTATCTCATGCCAAATTATTCAATCATGCATTGGTCATCATTATCACAAAGCTTGACTGAGATTCTAAACTTTTATAGACACGTGGCAGGTACCGGTGTTTTTGTCAACAAGATGAGGTACAAAATAAACAACTCACAGATGCTTCCTTAAAATTCATTACTGGTATTATTATTTTAATCATTATTATTATATATCTCCGACAAATTTGCAAAAATGGTCTTTGTGGTATGGTATGCATTTTTTTGAGGTTTTAATCCAAACTACGACTTTTTTAGATTGGTGGTCCTTTTGGCCATGTTTGTACGTAGATTTGGTCCCTCATAAAATTGAAATGACTATAATACCCTTATGATATATTTTTTGCTATTTAATTTAAATGAAAAAGGAAATAAATAATTAATTTGGGCGTCTCTCTCATATCCCCCAGATTAATGGTTGTCTTCTTCACTTCTACATCTTCAATACGGAGCACAACTTTGTGGAAATCCAATCAACATATCTTTTATACTTCTAAACCTAGAAAATCAAGAACCAAGTGTAGCTCTCAATTGATAAAAACATTGGTTCTTCTTCTTCTTTCTGTTAAAGTGTACGCAGAGAGAAAACAAAACAGGTCTGTTCCTCACCTCATTTTTTGGGTCTTCTTCTTTCCGTCAAAGTCTATCACAATTGTAATTAATATCATCGACCCACAATCTCTTGAAATCAACCACCAATCTATATGTAAAAGGGTCTCTTTTGAAGAATTCAACTGTTGGAAGTTCTAGCAAGCAAGAAGAAACGAGTGGAGGTACACATGAGATTTCAGCTCAGGAGAAGCTGTTAATTGAGCAGCCTGAGCTTTTGCAGCAATCTGGAGACGATTTCTCTCCCTCTGCATTACCACCGAAAACGTGCACCATCGTCGGTGCCACATTCAATACCCATTGCAACTCGAATCCTAAGGAAATCAGCCCCTATCATCATCTCATACTTACAACTTGAGATCTGCTTATCAATTTTACAAATAAAGAAGAAAGAGACATCAAATCTCCATCTCGGTCCCATATTCTCATTCAAAATCAAATAAGAAAAAGAGGATCATTGAAATCTGCTTATCAATTACCACACCAGATCTTGAAACAACAGAAGATAAAACGGCTTACAATCGAAATAAGTACAAAAAGAAACATGTTGATCAGAAGCATTCAGTGAAAGGAAGGCGGAGGTCGTCGGTGGAAAGGCGGCAAAGGTAATCAGTAGAAGTGGAAGCACCGTTGGGATTGAAAGAAAGAACTAGGGAGGGATGATGAGGTGGCTTAGCTTTGATAAGAGAAGAAGAAATATGGAAGGAGGTTCGATCGAATGTATGGGTTTGTGACGAAGGAAAAGAAAAATGGAGAGCTCTAATTGTTGTCTATGTACGACACTCCTCCACTTCTTCATCCTCTAATTGAATTGCACATGCTTCCTCAGATGTTCAATCCAGCAATGGTGGAGATGTTGGAAGCTCGATTTTAAAAGATCTCAGTCCGATTGTAGGGAGATCTTGGCATCACTGTAGATCTATGGACATGATCTTATGGTATTAAGAAAGAAGATACAAACAAGATGAATTAGTCCTGGTAAAAAGAAAAATGATGGGGGTATACCGTGGAGAGAGAGAGAGAGAGAGAGAGAGAGAGAGAGAGAGAGAGAGAGAGAGAGAGAGAGAGAGAGAGAGGCCCATTTTTATATTTAATAATAATAATATTAAAAAGTGAAAAAAAATGAAAAATAAATTCATTAAGGGTCTAATAGTCTCTTTAGTTTGGACAGGGACCAAAACTGCAAGCAAACTAGCTCAAAAGGACCATCAACGCAAAAAAGTCGAGGTTTGGTCTAATAGTCTCTTTAGTTTGGACAGGGACCAAAACTGCAAGCAAACTAGCTCAAAAGGACCATCAACGCAAAAAAGTCGAGGTTTGGATTAAAACTCCAAAAAAATACATACCACAGGGACCATTTTTGCAATTTTGTCTATATCTCCTTAAAATTTAGATCAAAGGGAATCTTATAAAACAAATTTGTTTCACATTCTGATGTTGTATGCTTCAGCATTGTTTACTGTTGCAAAGAATGTAAATCTCATCGCTCATTGACATAATTTACAACCTATCACCTTTTTTAATCTTATGTTTTGATGTTGCAAATTATTTTAATTTAAATCATTTATTATCCATTTTTTTAGGGAAATACTATCATGAACAGTGGATTCGTGATGTGGTGTTAAATGGTAAAGGGCTTCGTATACTTACTATAATGAATGTTGATATAATGTTCAAATGCAAAATTGGTGGGATGTTTACAATTTTGTTTTGTTTTGTTTTTTTTTTTTTTTTTCCATTTTTTCATAATTTTGCCTTACGAGTTTACTGAAAGTGTAATGTGGCCTGGATTTCAATTGAAGATTTCAAGCAATGGTAAAAAGAAATTCGTTTTCAGTACTTTTTTAGTGCTATGCTTTTTGCTTCGAATTTCTCCTCTTTTTTTTCTTTTTTTTTTTTTTTTTTTTTTTTTACTTTTTCTCTCGCTACCAATTTGGAAAACATTTAGGTCAGAGTTCCTTTTCCGTATAAAATTCTCTTGAATTTTCGTAAGAGTTATAATTATTAATCGCATTCTTAGCTTTTTTTTTTTTAACTTCCTTTTTTTTCATTTATATGAATAACAGATAACAAAAAGACAATTCCTAAAGACAAAAAAACCACAAAACCACAAAAAAAAAAAAAAAAAATTACCACCATGAACAACTGAGTATCATCTAGTGTTTCAACCATTGTCTTGGAAAGGAAGAACTTCCTTTTTTTTAGGTTGGCCTTTCATTTTTTTACTTTTCTCTTCTTATCATGTATTCTTTATCAGGTTATTCTTAAGCGCATCTAACACGTATACATTATTATTTCTATGTCACAGCAGGTTGAAGACCACCTTACCTGACTTTTGCTAAATTGGAAGGTGGTTTCAAACGACAATCAGGTAAGAAGCTTTTTTATTTTCTATGTACCTTTCTTAAATAGAATTCTTTGGCTCTGTATCTCCATTTTCTCTTTACCTTTACGGGACTGATTTATTTTGTTTGTGCCTATTTTTGATAAGTTTTTTCCTATAAAGGTTAAGGGTTTTTTTTTTTTTTATTTTTTTTTTTATTTTCAAACAGGAATTTAAAGGACACATATGAATATTTTTGTAGACTGAGACTGTTATGTAGAAATGGTAGTGACAATGAAAGAAGATAGATTATTTTTCTATAACTATTTAAACGTTGTATTGTTGCCAAATGGTACTATAAAGACCGTTATATTTCAAATTTGCTATTCAATACAAGAATTAGCAATATACTTTATAATTTATTTGTTTATTGTAGCATTACTTCTGTTTAAGCAGCCTTTTAATTTTATTGGTGATATATTATGTATATTTAATATTTCAGGAAAAAAAATTCCTAATTATTTGCTTTGAATCAAGGTAACCCGACGGTGGATCTCAAGGCTACTTACCCTAGGTGTTTATGCAATGTTGTTCATGCCCAATTTCTTCCCATGTGTGTTTTTTTGTTAACCTTTTCTCTTTGATAGATTTTCCATATAATAAATTCACATATTAATCGTGTTTTGGAAGTAAAATTCGATTATTATACTTTTCTTTACAATTTTACATCAATATTCCTTTTCTAATTTATCTTTTTTTATTTACTCTAATCATATATTCTTTATATATGCAACAAAAAAGAAAAAAAAAAAAAACGTGAGGCTCTAACTATATATGCCGAAAAACATAGCTAGCTCAAAGCCAGTTTTTGGATTTGCGCAAAAAAATAAAAATTCAGTCTCGATCTTTTTACCCTAATCATATATTATATTTGTTGGTAGAGAATGGATAAAAAATAAGAGATATCATTGTCGCATGATGGCATAATGATTGATATGTTGATGCGGATTTTGTCAAAAACCGTACAAAATTCTCTTTCGAATCAATAAAAAAAAGACGTTGAACACATTTATTATCCCTGGTAATTTGTTACAAAAAATATTTGTTATAATTCATATATTTACTAAAAAAATATGTTTACAATAAATGAAGTACAATGACAATAAAGTACATTGCTATAAAGTCCACTTACAGCAGCAATGCAAATTCATTCTCCAATGGTTCATTTTTATGTTGTAGATTCTGTTTCTTTTCGATCTAACGGGGGATTGTAATTTCATTCGTGTAGGAAAATTTCAAATAGTTGAATCTATTGATATGAAGAAACTAATATGATGTTTAAGTTCATTTTGTGTATAAAGTGTTGCTAATATGACACAACTCTAATATTTTTGTGTGAATCTCATCTTGATATCTAATTTAATTAATAGAACTAGTACTCACAATCTTATATGTAGCATGGGCTTAGAGTTTTTTTTACTATTTGAGTCAAGTTAACTATTTACGTTTATTGTCTGTGTTAGGTACACACCGGAGAGAAAAAAACTTGACCTTTATAAGAAGAACATTATTAAAGATGGCAGGAAAGCATGGGCGATTAAAAGCAACATACATTTATTTGTACATTGAAAATCTATTTTATAGCATTGTCTTTCTATTATATGATCATTCAGACTTTGATTTACTTAGATAAATTAAATATCCTGCTACTTTTGTTCCTACAAATCCTCCTACCCAATTCAATGATGATATATGTCATATTAGTTTACTAAAATATCATAAGATTTCATTAAATGAGAATTAAATTGTAACACCCATAAATTTTTATGCCAAATTTAAACTTTTCAAGTATAAATAAAACCAAATAGTAACAATTTACAAACCATTTTCTATCAATATCCATCAGATTGTCCCAAAACAAGATCATAAGGATGAGGAGCGGTACGGTCACGCCTTTGCCTTGCCATGATCTCCTCCTGAAGTACCTGAAACAATAAACTGCAAACTATAAGCCCGAGGGCTTAGTGAGTTACCCCGAAAATACCAATACCACACTGAAATACCAAATTTGTAACCATAATTCAACAACATGCATACTGGGCCGTTGGCCTGACTAGACTGCCCTATAGGGCCTACGGTCAACGGAATCTTCACCGAGCCTTCGGCATGACTGGACCTCCACGTGGGCCTACAGTCTTCCTGGACAACTCATAAGGTATGTTGACCTTCAGCACAAAGCAGGACCGCCCCAACCCAAATCAACGAGCAAACAATCATGTGCGCAAAACTAACATATACTGGCATATATAAGCATCAAACATAGCTAACTCAATGATCAAGAATCATAGCAATCTCTCATGACTAGAATACAGACCTAGCAGGGCACTAACATCCCAACCCATAAGGATCACAGGGGTATAACATACTGTCTATCCTGATTCCAATCTATCAAATCATAACCATATATATATATATATATATATATATATATATATATATATATATATATATATATATATATATATATATATATATATATATCGTAACGATAACAATTAAAGGGCCGACCTTGGTACCTTAGACCCTTTTGATATAGTGAGGATAACTCACCTTGCAGATGTCGACTCGATAGATAAATCCCAACTCTCTGATCACTCGCCAAAGACTCCTCCACCTATAACCATAGTACGAGCATACTCATAAATCCTCAACCTCACAAGGATTCCATAAACCAACTAGTCAACCCCAGGTCAAAATCAAAGTCCTCAGTCAAGGTCAACAATCCATGTTGACCTTAACTCACCGAGCACCCTCAACTACTCGCCGAGTTCCTTGAAGCAATATCCAACTCGCCGAGTCATCGAGGTGACTCGTCAAGTTCCTCAGATTCTTGATCACACTTCTAAGCCAACAGTCGAGTTTCCTTCTTGCAACTCGACGGATACAGACACACATATATCCTGGAGAACACTAATCCGACTCACTGAGTTGTTCATACAACTCGCCAAGTCTATGACAATCTTCATCGGACTTGCCGAGTTGCTCATCCAACTCGTCGAGTTCAAGGCCATCATCATACGACTCGCCGAGTTCCTTCAGCCCTTAAGCTATAAAGACTCATTTAAGCCATCCAATGGCTCCAAATTACAGATCCAAGCTTCTAGAGCATGCTTTTCACATAAAGTTGCAAAATTTACGTGTATGAATGTCTAAAAAGGCTCTTAATGGCAATTCTAAGCTCTTAATGGGGTTTCATGCACAAGGAGGGTTTCAATCACCCCCATACCCGCAACTTTATGACTATAGGACTTAGGAAGGGTCTAGATCTAAAGAAACAACTTCAGATCTAGCCCATAGCTCCCCATATCAACTCAAAATCCATAAAACCCTAAAACTCATCCAAAAGAAAAGAGATCTAGAAGGAAATGGAAGTAAAGATTGCAACTTGATACCTCCAGAAGAGGCTAGCTGAGGTAAGTTCTGCTTCCCACAGCTTCCTTGCTTCAACTCCTTTGCTCTTCCAGCTTTTCCCTCTTAGCCAACCTTCTTTCCAAGGCTTAAATCACACCAAGAAGAGTACCACACGAATTAGGGTTTCGCTGAGCTTCTGAAAGACTGTAAAGAGGCCAAAGGAGGTTGAGGCTCCTTTAATATGGTGCAAAACCCCGGGATTTAGGGTTTCATCTACCAGCTCCTAATCGTCGAGTCCCTTCTTGGACTCAGCGAGTAGGTCACTAAACACGCGGTCCCACCCCACTGCTACTCGACGAGTGGGGCAACCAACTTGTCGAGCATGACTTAAACCTAACGAACCTTTTATTTAATCAATACCTGAGAATCGAGGCATTACAATTCTCCCCCACTTGAACTAGACTTCACCCTCGAAGTCCCCTGGGATAAACAATGTTGGGTAATGCTCGCGCATCTCCGCCTCCAGCTCCCACGTCCACTCGGATCCCTTCCGATGTTCCCACTACACTTTCACCAAAGGTATTTCTTTGTTCCACAAAATCTTCTTCTTCTTTTCCAAGATGGCCACAGGCCTTTCCATATAGTTCAGGCGCTCATCGACCTGAACATCATCCAGCGATACCACTACCTCCTGGTCCATAATACACTTCCGTAATTGTGAAACATGGAACGTGCTATGGATCCAGTTAAGCTCCTCCGGGAGCTCCAACTTGTAAGCTACCTTGCCAACCCTGGAAATGATCCTAAACGGACCAATGAAGCGTGGACCAAATTTTCCCCTCTTCCTGAAACGGATCATACCCTTCCAGGGTGAGACTTTCAGGAGTACCATGTCACCCACCTGAAATTCCAACTCAGATCGGCGTTTGTCGGCATAACTCTTCTACCGACTCTGAGCCGTCTGCAAACGCTGTCTAATCTGCTGTATCTTTTCGGTAGTCTGCCGAACTACCTTTGTCCACCCCATTACCCTATGCCCAATCTCACCCCTGCAGATTGGGGTTCTACATTGTGACAACCCGAAATTTTCATTCGTACAAACTCTACAGTCCAACACTTCAATTAAAAGTTAAATACTTTTCTGCTAAATTTTAGCCGTGAACTCATGCCTTAGGCATGAGTTTACTCCCCATTCCTTTCATTTCCAACTTCCACCCTCAAGAACAATAGCCATTCTCTCTCAATCATCCCGTTCTTCACCCGATCTTCCGAAAATGTAAGTGTTTCTCGACTTGATTTGTTGCTATAACCTAACATCTAGTTGTAATACATCATTTCATCCATTCATTATTGATTTCTACTTAGATATTCAAGTGTTCTTCAAAACACCAAGAATACACACTAGTATTCTTGGA